GGGGGATGTGGCGGCGCGGGCCCCGGGGTTCCGGTCCGGGTCGGGCGGAAGCTGGGTGCCCGGTAGCGCATTCCCGGTGCCGCAGCCTCTCGCGTTCTCTTGCAGGGAGCGCCAGGGGCGGCCGCGCTTTGCAGGCGCGTGCAGTCTTTGGGGGATGATTTACGTTCTTTAAAGCTCGCCTGTTTCTCTCTGCCACCCAGGCTTGTACTACTGGGGAAGTAAGATTGGGGGGTCTGCATCTGGCTCCTCGGTTTCCTACTCAGAACTGGGGTTCTGGTGAGGGCTTCACAGACAACAGCAGCAAGGCCCAGTAAAGGGTGGGTTTAAAACAAATGCAGTCCACTGGGAACATGAATTCGCTGTCTTCATGGCATTAAAAGAAAGAAGCAGCGATCCCATGTGTTTATGCAATCGTCTAACAAATACTTACTGTACTACTTGTTGGGACATGGGAGGTACTGGGGTGATCGAAGCCAGGTGCAGTTTCTGCCCTCAGTTGCTTACTGGCTAGAGAGGGACGTAAACACCAAGTGCAGCACTGCAACAACGATCATTGCTGGTAAGGGGGATAAGAATATGCCACTCCAGTATATGCCATTTTGACAAAGGGTTATTTTGAGCGGCAAGACATGAAACTGCAGTTACAGAAACTGCAGTTTCTGCTTTCCCCTCTGTCCAAAAGTAGAAACAACAGTGTATGTTTCCCATTGTAAACGATGTTAGGGTAAACCGAGGCACAGTTGAGACCCCGATACAGGCAGTTTAAGCAACTTTGGAGGATTGTATTGTAGCCCTGATGCAGCTGGGCCAAGGGTGAAAAGACCATTGGCCCCGAACAGGGGGCAAGAGCATGTTTTATAGGGTAGTTTAAGTAGGGGATGGGGGCATTGCCGAGGGGGGAGGTACACAAGTCGCTAGGTGATAGACAGGGCAGTGTTGGGTACAAGGGGTGCTGGCAGGCACAGCATGTCCCTTGTGGTTTTTCGTGGACACAGCTCTCTGCAGGTTGAGCTGTGTGGGGAAGCTGCCGGAAGCTGCTGGCTTGCTGTTGAAAGCAGCACTCTTGAAGGTGTGAATAACAGATTGACTTGGGGAGTTTTTCTCTCCTACCTGGGCTGGGGTCTAGTTTGCAGACCTGGCAAACAATAAACTTGTATTTGTTTTGTTTTTTACTTGTATTTGTTAAAAACAAAAAAATGGTAATGCAAATCTTCCCATTTGTAAATATTTCTGTTTTCCTGATTAGGAAGAGTAGAAATGCAAACAGTGTTAATCTGAGTGTGGATAAGCATTACTAAACTTTACCTTTCACTAACTTCCTTCATATATTTATCTTAGCAAAATTTATTGCCCCTTGAATAGACTCCTTCATGTAGTCACTTTTCCACCATGCACTGACCTTTGTTAAAGTGATACAGATGCTCTCAGGCCTACCCTCTTCTCTTTACTATGAAGTTTCATTTTGTATACAAAATAAACTTTTTATCCCCTTACTAATCTGTATTTTTGTCAGCTTAATTCACAGTCTGAAGCACTGAGTTTAACAGTGTAGAGAAGTTTTATCCGTTTTTACAGCTAGGAAAAATGGGTACATATATATAGTCCTATGAAGCCTTTGATTTGGATCTGCCAGGCAACATTTCTCCAAGAGACAACAGAGAGGTGAGTAGAAGTGATGAATGGATAACTAGGAGAAAGGAAAAGGCCATTGTGGGCATGGAGTGGTGTGTATGTGTTTCAATGGGGTGACTTTTAGCAACAAATGGAGCCAGGAGCTTTGTGTGTTGCAGAAGGAAAGTCAGTGGAATTGCTCAGGGTTGGGGTGGATCCTATTTAGGGTGCTGTTTTTCTCTAAGCAATGAAATATTTTCAAAGGATTTTGAAGATGGCAGGTAGAGGTGAGTGACAAAAGATTTGAATTTTTAAAGTTCTCATCAGACATAGGTAAACCGACATAAAGAACTTTGATGAATGAATGCTTAGAAATCATGTTTTTAGCATGGTTTAAAAAGATAGCTACTGGGAAGCTTAAGGCACTGTCCACTCTGCTTCCTTCCACTGTTTCCAGGGTTGAATTACAGTTTTTATTTTTTTTTTAAATCAGATCACTTCTTGAGGCATAATACCTCAAATAAATCTATAGGTATCTTGTGAGGAAAATTTTTTTCCTATTTAAGTTAGTGTAAAAAGTTCCATTATCACTTTCCTACACCATGAACACAGTGTGCTTTCACCTGAGGATTGTGGAGACAAAAAATGAAGTGCATTTGAATGTATGTCATGGAAATGTGTGTTTAGACAGAATTTGTGAACTACTAGCTCCCTCCCCTAAACCACTGAAGTGGTTTATACACATCCATCTCCCCAGCTGTCTTGAACAGAGTGGAGAGGTGCTGTGGTTTGAATGTGTTCCCCCAAGCATATGTTGGAGTTGAGTCCCACAGGGAGGTGTGTAGGTCATGAGAGCTCCACCCACAGGAGTGGCTTCAGGTTTGAGGCTACAAGTTTAATCTTTCTTGTTCTTTCTCAGTAATGTCAGGCCACATTATGATGCATAAGGTAGCCTTCACCAGCTGCAGACTCATGGTCTTAACTTCTCAGCTTTTTGTTTTGTTCTTTTATAAGTTACCCAGTCTGTAGTACTCTGTTACAGTAATACAAAATTAAGACAGTAGAATTCTTGGAAAAGTAAATGATTCCTTTTGAAATGTCACCATGATGCCTGGTCCTGTTTTGTGCCATAGCATTCCATGGAATTCCATCTCTCAGTAGTGAGAGACAGCTTATCAGTAGTGATGACTGTTGGTACAAAGTAATAGGTTCACATCTCCAGGCTTGTAGCTTGGCTTCTTGAGAAAAGATCATATTTAAGGAAGCTTTTTAAGATATAGCTTCCACAAACCCCAGAGGTTAAGTGGTAGTCACTAATTTCCTCTTGAATATAAATATGTTGGGAGTTATGGTTGTCCTTGATGGCATTAATGGGCAACTGGGATTGTTTATTTTGTGAGAAGGTTCTATAGTCTTTTGCTTCCATGGTCATAGAATCCTAGGTGATTGTGCTCATTTATTTATCCCAAGAGATTCCCTGTGTTTCTAGCAGGGAAACACCTTTTGAGATGCTGTCTAGGGACCAGCAACTTGAGATCTTAGAACAATGTCTCCCAATGTTGTATTTCAAAGATCACTTACAACAGAATTTGTTACGTTGCTTCTCAAGTTACTGGATTCCATTGCAGGTCTTCTGAATTAGAACTTTTGTGAGCAGAACCACATGCACCTCAAACAACTGCTATGCAAAATGAAGTTTGAAGATCATTTTCTGAAAAAAAGAATGTCAGAAGGTTTTTTGGGGGGGTATTGGGGATTGAACTCAGGGCCTTGTGCATGCTAAGCAAGTGCTCTACCACTGAGCTACATTGCTGGCCCAAGAAGGTTTTTTTCCAAATAGTTCTCAAAGTGAATACTAAACATTAATGTTATATTCTTTGAATGTTCTCTAAATATTGTTACATAAGGTGAATCCATGTTACCTTTTACAATTTCAACCAAAAGATAGCGTCTTAGTTGCCAAAATTCAGAGATAGGTGAGAGAGAGACTCCTTTTGATTACTGAGCAGCTGTTATATAGTTGGTTCTTTAAAACTTATCTGATGTTTATCCACAATTTGTAAACAGGGAATTATAAACTCTTACAGATCAAGCCAGAGAAAACTTAGAGATGTTTAAAAAATTTTTTTTATTGTGGAAAAATAGAAATACTGTATATAAAAGTAGTATAATGAACTCCTATGTACCATTAGCTACCTTCAATTCTCAACATGTGGCCAGTGGTTTATTTATGCTCCCCATCCATGTCCTGTCACCCTCATATTATTTCTTTCCTCACATTATTTTGGAGCAAATCCAAGACATAATTTAATCTTTAAAGGGAAGAGGCTGTTGCAGAAACTGTGATTCATAATTTGTCAATCAGAAGTGTCATGATTTGTGTACCGATGTCCCCCCAAAGCCTCATGCACTTTTATATGGGGATCTTTTGGAGGAAGCTGAGTCTAGAGTTTGTGATTTATGGTTCAATGCTGGGATTAAGGGTGTTGGGATTAAGGGTGGGTGATTGCTGGGTCAGTTCACAGACTGAATTGGTACTGCCCTAATCCCAGTAGACTGGATGAAGTATAAGGGACAGAAAGAGGCTTGTCTTGCTCTCACTTGTTGCTTTTGCTAACTCCTGTTACCATGAACTGTTGCCCCTCTGCCATCTGCCACTCTGCTTTGGAGCCAGCCAATTATGGACTGAAATCTCCACAGACTGTGAGCTAAATAAATCTTTCCTCCTTTAACTTTGGGTGTCAGGTATTTTGCCTCAGCAATGAGAGAAAGATAACTAAGAGAAGAAGCATAGGACAGAATTTAAGACATGTGATTGGTACGTGAAGTGTATGGGGTCTTGTAGGACTGAGCCTTTGTTTAACCTGTGGGATTTGACACTATCTTCCAATAAATAGTGTCAGAACTAAGTTGACTTATGATATTCAGTTGGTGTCCACCTGAGAATTGTTTGTTGTGTAGAGAAATAATTCTCAAAACATCTGGTCATAGAAGTGTTCTGGATTGTAAGTATTAGAGTAGAAAGGAGAAAAAAAACCCATTATTTCCTTTTACAGTCTCTTATCATTTAGATCTCATCTCTAACCATGGATTTTTAGAGAACCTTTCCAGGATATCTTACTTGTTATAACACTTATTTTCCTTTTTCAAATCACTTATTATTTATCCATTATGATACTGCTGGGTCTCTTTCTCATTAGAATGTAGATTAGTACAACTTTTCACATTTTGTTCATCACTGTGTAGACTGTACATGGCACACAATGGGATCGCTCTCCTTTTTTTTTTTTTGGTACCAGGAATTGAACTCACGACCTCAGGCTTACTAGGCAAGCACTTATGACACTGAGCTATATCCCCGGCCCACACAATGGGATCTCAAATAACTGTTTTCCTTTAGTGACCTCAACAGTGCAGAACCCTAGGGTCACTTTTTTCCTTCAGTCTTCCAGCACCAGTGCTGCTGTTACCCATTGTCTCTTTCTATCCACTACCACATCGCTATTCATCTGGCTTTTTTTTCTTTTTCACATGAGGTCACATTTTAGATTCTTTCCAGATCTTCTACTCCAGGTGCAAACATTAGTGTCCGAATAATTTGAACCTGGGCCACCTTCTTTGACATTTCTAATTTCCCTCTCTACATTATGTATTTCACTCCATTGCATTACAGATTATCTTCATATTTCTGATGTAACTCCCAAATGTACCTTAGCTTTGTACTTAAGATGTATATATCTAATATCTATACCTGGATGCCTAGCAGTCACTTCAAGCTTAACATGTGGAGAGCAGAATTCTATTTATGGTGTTCTGATCCTGGTAGGTCCCATCCCAATCCCTTACTTACACTCCTCCTCTGATGTACTTTGCTTTAGTTGTACTGCCTTTCTTTGCTTTCCTATTCCCCAAATTTTGTTTTACTCATAGTTGTATCCCCAGTGCCTAGCATAGCACCTGCGAGGTACTGCTGCGTGATGGTAGGTGCTCAATAATAAGGGTATTGGCTGAGTTAACGAATGACTGGTCTTCAAAACACAAAGCCAGGGCTTTTTTGCCTACCGTTCTCAGGCCATGAAAGCTGGTTCCTTTATTTCTCTACGGGATACTTCTTTCTCATCATTCAGGTCTCTTGCTTCAAAATTACTTCCTCAGCAAGGCCCTCCCACCATTTTCCTCCCAGTCTTTATTGTATTACCCTGTTATATAGCATTTCCTTCAGTACATTTATCACTACCCCAATACATTGCCTAACTTGTATGTCATTTGTCAATGTCAGCTCCCCAAATATAGGGACCTTGTCCATATTCTCTGTGCCTGAAACGATAAATGAATGAAAGAAACCCAGGCCTGTCAGACCTCAAAGCTCAGAGAACTGTTTTCTGTGGATGGTTCTTTATTTAGGCAGTATTTTCTCCTCTTGACATTTGTACATTCTCATAGCTTCCATGTGAAAGGAAGTATGTAAAGGTTCTGAGCTCTGAAACCACATAACATATTTCCCTGCTACCATTTGCCTCAATCTTCCCTGTACCAGTTGCCAGGGCCCTAGGCGAGGTGCTGAACAAAAATAGTTGAATAAAGGACGGTATCTTCCCTCGGGTAGGTTATTAAGGTTTTGGAAGTACGTAACTTGACTATACTTCCTAGATTTCACGTCCTGATGGTCCCAACCTCTCACACCGCAATATCTTCCCACTTAACTTTCCAGGCTCAAAGCCTAGATGCAAAGCTGCGAGCGCCTCTGGACCATCCCACGGCGCGCTTGCGTCGGGGCCTCGGTCCTGCCCACACGTTTAGGCCCCACCCAGCTCCCTGGCCCCGCCCCTAGACCGCGCGCCCGGGGCGGGGCCTACAGCAGCCACTCACGGCTGGCCACGCGCCGCAGCGAGAGTGACGTAAGAGTGGCGCAGAGACTGGCCCTGCGGCTGGCTGCAAATCTGCCCTCAGCAGTTCCTCTCCCGCTGGCGGTCTTCTGCTAGTGGCGCAGCGGTGCGAGAACTTCCGCGGCCTCGCGCGGGCCCGCGAGCGCCTAACTAATCGACGCGCACCGTCTTCACCGAGCGCCATGGCCCTGACAGGCGCGCCCGAGGCGGCCGGGCGCTGCCTGCTCCTCTGCCTGCTTGGGCTTCTGCTAATGGCGAGCCCTGCGCTGGGCTGGGACGACCCTGGTGAGTGCTCCCACTCGCCCCCTCCTGCCGCCTTCGGCCGTTTCCCGGATCGCCCCTCAGCCTGTACGCCGTAATTCCTCCTTTCCGTCCTCGCTGCGGGCCTTGTACCCTGCGTGGTACCTTTGCGCTTCCCAGTGGGACGGCGGGAGACCACTGTTCTCGCGTTTCCTTTCTTCCTCCCCTGGACTCTCAGGTGGTGTCCACCTCGGGCTACGGCGCTTATTCGCTACTCTGTCCACCTTCTCGGGCTAGCTCGGCGCTCGCGACACCCACCCGCGCCTCTTCGTTGTGTTGGCTGTCTCTTGGCATCGCCCCCGGCTGTTGTCATGGCTGCCTGTTGCTATGGCTCGCAGGTGCCAGGCCACCATTATTCAGTCTCTGAGTCACACCTAGCGGACAGGGCCGCAGATCTGGGAGGTTGGTTGGCAGAATCATAGACCCCGCTGTTGCTGCGAGCAGAGCTCCGGCGTCTAGTTCAGGTCCGGGCAGTGAAGTACGTCGCATCACACCAGCTTTTCCTTTGTTTTACGCCGTGCATTTGAATTAGATGTTTTTCTCTCTCATTTTTTTTTCGGCGATGATACGTAATAAGTGATTTCTAGGGATGAGGCTTTTTGTATAAATGTCATCAAAATGTAAGCAGTGACTTTCCGTCAATTAAAATGGTATCATTTTTGGTTTGGAAAAAAAAAAAAATGGTGAGGCATGGCAACCCGAGTAGTATTCCTTTTGTGAACCGGTTGGACATGCCAAGCTTTTGAATTTAAGCAACAGGTTTATTTCTGTTAGGTCCTATTTTCTTCTACCCGCTGAATGAGAGCAAAGGCGCTGTTTCAAGCACTTCACTTTGAGTAATCCATTTGATGAGAATGTTTTATTACCATAAAAAGCCACATTCACTTAGGTGCCTATATTTTCCTTGTATATTCCTAGAAATTACAAAAATGAGAGGCGATTAAAATTATAATTTAAAACCTGGAATGAAATATTAGTTGAACCCTAATTCTGCAAAAAGGAAGTTCACCGATGAAGAGTCTAGGGAATTATTAAAAGAAAAATAACCACATTTAAATTAAGGGCGAATCACTTCCTGTGGCTTTTTGTTCACCTACGCTGTAAAACTATTGTTCTGGAACAAAAAGCAACAAAATGTTTTGCAGAGTAATTGCACTTCGTTTGCTTCGAGGAACTGTTTTATCAAGATATTTTATTGAGATATGATTTGTCAAATCTTTTGATAAAGCAACTTCTTAACATTTTTTTGTCTTTGGGTGCGTTTACATTGTCTTAGGTAACAAAGCAGTAATTTGGCGGGGGCGGGGCACCATTCTAGAGAGATTACCTAAGATTTTCAGAATTCTTTATTGAACGTAGTCTTATATTTAAATCACTTTTCTGGGCATTGAGATTATAGCTATGAATGAAGAAGAGTGTCTTGCCTCTAAACAGCATGCCAAAGTAATGTGGACAGGATAAAGCAGGGTAAGGAAGGGGATGTGCAGACAGAAATAAAGACTTAAGTAAATATGCATTGGGCAGGGAGGTCACTGTTAACGTGACATTTGATTAGAAACCTGCAAAGAAAGAAGTAAGTGACTGTGACTATATTTTTAGAGGATCATCAGAGCTAGTTACTGTGTGGAAAACAAACTGAAAGGGATAGAGGGAAGGGCCAGTACATTCCAAGGGTGGTGGCCATTTGGCCTAGGGAAGAGGGAAGTGTAGTGGAGGTGGTGAATGGTCACACTCTTTTCTCACCAGTTGGGAAAGTGGAGTTCACAAGATACCCTGATGAATTACTGTAGGTGTGAAAGGAGGAGAGAAGACAAGAATTATTCCAAAGTTTTGTTTGTATTTTGTTTTGTTTTGTAGTGCTGGAGTCCACGCAGGGTCTCATGTAAAGCTAGGCAAGTGCTGTGCCACTGAGCTACATCCCCAGCCAAAGGTTAATGTTATTATTTTTTAAATGGTTCTGGGGGTTGAATCCAGGACCTTTGCACTGAACTACGTCCCCAGCCATTTTTATTTCTCCATTTGAAGACAGGATCTGGTGGATTTCAACTTGCAATCCTGCCTTTGCCTGCCTTAGTGTGCCACTGTGCCTGGCTTAACCCTAAGATTTTTTTTCAGCATCTGCAAGTGTGGAATTACCATGTCTTGAGATAGGAAAGAATGTTGGCAAATTGGGTTGAGCGGGGTTTAGTTTTGTTTATCTTAGATTTGAGATCCGAAAGTGGATTTTGGTTTATGAGACTGGAGTTCAGGGAATTCTCTGTGTTCCTTGACTGATGTAACTAGTGGCTTCGGAGCGTTGTACTCTTCCACCTTAAGGCTCTAGGGAAGAAAGATGCTGAGGGATTATGGTATGATACCCATGTGTATATACTTATTCTCAGTAATATTTCTCGTGCTTGGTTACCTACTATACATCAACTGCTCTGCCAGATAATATTAGTAAGTTATATCTAAACTTCACAACATATTTCAAGGTAAGGAAACTTGAAGGTAGGGAAACTTATGCACAGGTAAATTTAACGTCTTGACCAAAATCATATAGTAAGTTGGTGTAGCTAATTTGGATCAATGTTCTTTAACAATCTCTGTCCTATTAAAATAAGTTCAAATCATGATTATTCTTGTTACTTAGTTTATTAATACAGTTTGACTTTTTTTTTTTTTTTGATAGGGACTTCCTATATTGGCCAGGCTGCCCTGGACCTCTCAGTCTTGCTGCTTCAACATACTATGTATCTGGGTTTATGGACATGTGCCACCATGCGCAGCAGGAACATTTTCATTGTTAGTTTTTTATATATGAGGAGATAGATTAGGTTTATGTAATATATTTTATTTTGTCATTAGATATTTTGTATTTTTAGCCTATATGAATTATGTTTTTATATAAAGTGGTTTTTCTTCTAACTGCATGGTCAGTTATATTAGTGCCTTTTTTTTCCTTTTTTTGAGACAGGGTTTCACTGTACAGTTCAGGGTAGCCTTGAACTCACTTTGTAGCCCAGGCTGACCTTGAACTTGCAGTGATCTTCCTCCCTTGGCCTCCCAAGTGCTGGGATTACTGGCATGAACCATCACTCCTGGCTGCCATTTGTTAAAGTAGGCATCTTTTTTGAATTAAAAAGCCCATTTTATCTTATATTGAATTCCCACATATATCTGGTTTATTTCTAGACTTTATTTTATTCAACAGTCTGTTCCAATTCCATACTGCTTTGTTGATAGTAACTTTATTATTATTTTTTTGGTACCAAGAATCGAGCTCAGGACCTTGTGCTTGCCAGGCAGGTGCTTATGCCACTGAGCTATAACCCCGGACGGATAGTAACTTTATAGTAATTAACATACTCGTTTTCCAAAAAACTACCTATTTGTAGACATTAATTTTTCCATAGGATCTTTAATATAATTTCTTTCCAGTTCCAAAAACCCCTATTGGATTCCTGATTGAAAGTGCATCACATTTATTTAGGTTTATATTATCTTTATTTTTTTACATAGATTTTTTGAATGACCCTGTTTATTTTTAGACATTTTATTTATATACATCTATATGTGTTTTGTCACTAATTTGATTAAAATAGACTTTCTGTTTTTCTAACAGGATATTATAGGTATAGAAAATTTTGGTAATTGATAACGTGTAGAGTTGTTTTATCAAACAAAACAGGGTTGTATTTTGGAAAGTTCCCTTAGATTTATAAGTCTAGAAACTCTGCATAATAAAATAGTACCCTCTCTATTGTTTGTACCAAGTATAATAGACATGATTATATGACTACTCAGTCATTCTTGTCCTTGTTTACTTCCTAGAAAAGCCACAAACACCTTTTAGTACCATCTCTTCCAACTAGTCATTCTAGTCAGTCTACTGAAAGGCTTTTGGGGATGATATTTTAAATATACATGGTAAATTATGAGCCTTTATATGGTTTGTTTCAGCTCTACTTTGGGTTGACATTTCAGTGTAAATTTTAGACATCATAACAGGTCACCATTTAATCCTTTGATATTTACCTTTTTTTTTGAGATTTACCATTTTTTTAAAGGAACTTTTTCTCATATGGTAAAAATAAGATTGTACCAGACAAAATTAATCCAGATTTCTTAATATCAGGTAATTATCCATTCATCTTCAGGTAGCACAGTTGATATGAAAATGTCTTTTATAGCTATTTTCGTCAAACCAAGACCAGTCTAGTACTATGCATTGCATTTGGTTGTATTAACCCTAAAGTCTTAAAAATCTGGGACAGTCCATTACTTGCTGAAGAGGTTGGATAATTTTGCCTATCAAAGTAAAGTATCTACTTTATGGACCAATTTCCTATTTTCTCATGGTATTTCACATTTTTTTTTTGTTTTCTTTTGTCTTTTTAGAGACAGAGTTCAGGCTGGCCTTGAGCTCACTTTGTAGCCCAGGCAGGTTTCAAACTTGCAATGATCCTTCTGCCTCAGCCTCCCAAGTGCTGGAATTACATGTGTGCAACACCAAGCCTGGCTACTCCTTGGTGGTTTTTTGTTTTTTTGGACGGTAGTGGAGATTGAATCCAGGGAGCACTGAGCTGCATCCCTGGACCATTTTGAGACAACATCTCACTAAGCTGCCCAGGCTTGGTTTGAACTTGCTTGCAATCCTCCTGCCTCAGCTTCCCAAATAGCTGGGATTACACATGTGCATCACTATGCCTGGCCCATTCCCCTTGTATATTTGGTCAACTACATGTTAAATTCAAAGGCTAGATTAGATTCATAATAAATACTTTTGGGGAATACATCATAGAAGATGGTGTATGTCTTGGTTACTTTTCTCTTGTTGCTGGGACAAAATATGTGACACCCAAATTAAGGAAGGAAAGATTTTTTTGAGCTTACAGTTTGTGGAGGTTTCAGTCCATACTTGGCTGGCTCCAAGGCAGAGTGGCACATGGCAGAGGACAACAGTTCATGGTGGTGGAAGACAGCAGAAGCCACAAGAGCAAAATGGGAGGAGTGGCTACAAGCAATTTCTTTCTCTCCCTTACTTATGCAAACTGTGTGCCCCATGGCAGCTGTAGCACTCACACCCATAATCCCAGCATTGGATCGTGGATCAATCAAATATCTAGAAACCTGCCCCATGAGTGCTTGAGGATTTGGGGAGACATGCAGACACAAACCATAACGGTGTAATAATCAGTTTCTACCACATTAGCGATGGTAAGATTGACCACTGTGTTTAGTGGTCATATTCCCTTGTAAAGTTACATTTTCCAACTTACAGTTAGAAAGCAATCTGTGTAATGAATACTGATATCTATTGACCTAATGGTTTTACCATGATTTAATTCTTTGGGTCAATCACTTTTGCTCTGTTGCTCTTGTTTCCTCCTCCTTCCCTTCCTCTTTCCCTCTCCCTTTTTTGGCTTTTTTTTTGAGACAAGGTCTCCATATGCAATCCAGGCTGGCCTCCAACTGGCAGTCCCTCTACCTCAGCCTTTAGAGTGCTGTGATTGCAGGTATGTACCACCTCGATCAGCTGATCTTTAGGGGTTTTAAATGAAAACAAAATTTTTATCATTTCTTCTACATTTATTAGCTAGCATTCTTCAATACAGTTACAATTTCCCTATCATTGGAGGCTATTTCTGATTATATTCTTACTGGAAAATCAGAATAAACATTTAATTTTTAATCTTTAAGTACCTTCAAAATAAGGAAGTAGTTGTAAGCCACCTCAAATCATGATGGCAGGTGGATTTTTGACATTTACTTTGAGTATCATTATGAATTCTTAGATTTTATAAATTTCAGCATAATTTGCCCTACTTGCTGGTCAGTCTTTTGTTTTCAGTGTCTTTAAGAAACCCTTCTTCATCCCAGGATCATAAACATATTCTTGTGTACGTTCTTTTACTATTGTAATTGTAATACAATTTTTTTGTAAGTCTTAGAGTGTTTTTAATCATCAATTTTTGTACATAGTATGAGGTAAAAATCTAACTGCCCCTACTCATAGATAATCTATTGTCTCAATACTATTTTCTGACTACTTTTTCTAAGTTGAAATGACTCTGTAGTCATATTGAAAATTTTCGGGTACTTAGAAGTCTCTCTTTGAGTATAGTACTGGATTCCATTTTGTTAATCAGTATATCTAAGTCTGTGCCAGTACTAAACTGTTTACATTATTATAAATTAACTGTTTTGGTATCTGTGGCCTAGATTTCTTTTCTTTGTTGTTCTTGTTTCCTTTAAATAGTCATAGTAACTTTCCTATATTTATTCTTGTGTTTAAGTTTTAGAATCAATTTTTTAGGATTCAGAGCAGTGTTTTATTGGTATTTGGAGCAGGGTTTGTTTGGTGTTACAGGTTAATTTTGAGAAAAGAGTGGTTTATTGTATGATATTCCCATCCATGTATAGCATACAGTTTTCTCTTTTTTTTTTTTTTTTGGTTTTGGTTTTTCTCCGGTACCGGGAACCGAACTCATGACCTTGTGCTTGCCAGGCAGGTGCTTTTGCCGCTGAGCTAAATCCCCAGCCCCCAGTTTTCTCTTTATTCATTTTCCATTTTATATGTTTAGGTAATGTTTATAGTTTTTTGTAACAGTTCTGTCCATCCTCATGTATTTTATAATGTTTTGTTTGTTTGTTTTTTTTTTTGATTTTCTCCCGTACCGGGAACCGAACTCACGACCTTGCGCTTGCCAGGCAGGCGCTTTGCCGCTGAGCTAAATCCCCAGCCCCTCATGTATTTTATAAATAACCATTTTAGGGGGCTTATTGCTTTCCCTGCATTTTAAACTTTTTATCTTCTATTTTATTTTGACTTATGTTTTCTAATTTTTTTTTTCCTTGTTGGTGCTGGGGATTGAACCCAGGGCCTTGTAGGTGTGAAGCATGAACTTTAGTACTGAGCTACACCCTCACCCCTATATTTTTGTTTTTTCCCTACTAGTTTGTTTATGACCTACTTAAAAATAGTAAAAACAGGTAAGTCATAAACATTCCTTTTTGTTCCACAAATTTTTTTTTTAAAAAGAAACTAAAACCTGATGTTTACAAGACTGTTTTAGTTGGATTGACTTGACTTTAACTTTTGAAATTTGAGTGCCTTTGAGATTTGAATTCTCTATTTACCACATGCCCTGCCACTTCCTGCATATTCTATTGAGCCAGCTTTAGCCAATGATGTATTTTTTTTTTTTTTTTTTTTTTTTTTTGGTTTTTCTCCGGTACCGGGAACCGAACTCACGACCTTGGGCTTGCCAGGCAGGCGCTTTTGCCGCTGAGCTAAATCCCCAGCCCCCAATGATGTATTTTAAACGTTTGACTGGCACTATAAGGTTTTGAATTTGCAAGCCCAATTCTAAATTTGTTTTGATGTCCATCGAATACAAAGGCTATGTTTATTTTCTAATTAAATTAAAGCCTATTATTATATTATTTTATATACTTATATTTCTAGTCTGTCATATTTTGATGAGAAAAAGGCCTATAAATCTTTTTTTGGGAGAATGTGCCTTACTAATCTTAGTGGAATATATTAAGTTTTTTTAGGTAAAATATAAATGAGATTTGTGTCTGCTGACATAAAGAAATGTCCATAATGTATGATTAAGCAAAAAGTAGATAAAATTCACTGTATGATTTAACTTTTATGAAAATAAACAGTAATCATATTACCTGTTTGTGTAACTGCTGGGTTTGGTTCCCAGCATGTGTGTGTGTGTGTATAATTTTAAAAGGGTTAATAAAATGAATATCAGTACTGTATCTGTTTATATAATCGCCAGGCGAGCAAGAACAAGATTGATGAGAGATTCTTCTTACCAGGCTGTTAATTTTTGGTTATCACAGAAATGTGAAATTAGAGACAGTAGGTTTACCTTTCTTTAAAAAAAATTGTGAAACATATACTTACGGATGTTATGGCTTGAGTCTAGATGTCCCCCCAAAGCCTCATGTGGTCATAGGTGAGCTTTTCAGAAGGGGGCTGGATCCTAGAGTGTGTGACATGGGGATTGATTAATGGTGCAATGTTAACATTAAGGGTGTGAGTGCTACCTAGTCTGGATCAGATAAAAGGGACAGAAAGACCTTTGTAGCTTGCTTGCTTTTGCTGTCTTCTAACTGCCGTGAATGTTTCTCCTCTGTGATGCCTGTCTGTCATGCCACTCTGCCTTAGAGCTGGCCAACTATGAAACCTCAACAAACTGTGGGTCAAAATAAACTGTTCCTCCCTTAACTTTGAGTGTCAAGTATTTTGTCTCAGGAATAAGGAAAGTAACTAAGACAATGGATGAAGACATAAAATATATGCATATAGGGAGAGCTGAGTAATAGGACACTTGCCTAGGGTGCTTGAGGTGCTGGGTTTGATCCTTGGCATAAAAAATAATATGTGTATGTGTAGTTTAAAACAGAATAATAAAGCGAACATCAGTATATTCCCACCCAATTAAGAGAAAGATTAGAAGCATTCTGTGTGTTCCTTTGTAAGCACATGGCCTGTTTTTTTTTTTTTTTTGGCAACTCATAGAATCCTAGTCTTCAGAAATACCCAGACCTGAAAATATATCAAAGACACAAATTTTGTTTGTGTGTCTTTGGTGTGTTTTCAGGCCTGGGTATTTATTGCATCTTAGAAAGTATGACAACTCACGTCCTACAATGAGGTCTTTTCTTTAAATTATATTCCTGGGTTTACCCCACATGGTTTCTCTGTCCCTTTTTCCTGCAATGCTTGTTGGATTTTTGGACTTCCTGAACTGATCCTGTCATTTTCTTTTTGATACTATTTTTAATTTGTGAAAGAGTTCAAACATTTTTAATTTTCAAAATTGTAAAATATTTAAAATATTTAAACACAGAAGTACACAATGAACACCCATGTAATCACCCCAAGTTTTATTTAATCTTTGTTTTTATCATGTTTGCTACAAATTCCCCAACCTCATTTAATGAAACAGTAGGGATAGAAGAGCCTCCCTAGAGGTATTCATCTGCATTTGGTGTTTATTCATTCCTGTACATGTTTTTATATTACATACATTTATAAATGTTAATAATGTAAGTACTATTTTGCCTTTTCAGTTTACATAAAGTTATACTAAATATATTTTGGAACTTCTGTTTTGCTTAAAATGATTTTATCATTTACCCAGTTTGATACATGAGTTCTAATTCATTTTAACTGTTGTGGAATATATACCATTCCTGAATGTTAAGTTGCCTTTAAGAGACGGATAGATTTCTTAGTCATCTTCAAAGAGGAGAAAGAACATTTCATTTTGAACCTATTTTCTATGACAAAATTTGACAAAAATTGTTTAGGGTGACAAGGTATTTATGTTTGATGAGATGTTTACTGTCTTCCTCTATGTTCTTATTGTTTCAGACAGAATATTGTTGCGGGATGTAAAAGCTCTTACTCTGTACTATGACCGCTATACCACCTCCCGGAGGCTGGACCCTATCCCACAGTTGAAATGTGTTGGAGGCACAGCTGGTTGTGATTCCTACACTCCAAAAGTCATACAGTGTCAGAACAAAGGCTGGGATGGTTATGATGTACAGGTAATGTCTACTGGTACTATATCAGCAACAGTTTAAGTGTAATTTTTATTCAATAAATTGTTTATTGGGATATTAATATTTTCATTGTAAAATATATAATAGATCAACCATTTTTCCCATAGAGGAAACATTCTTTAAAAGAAGTCAACTGATTTCAGAGCCTAGAAGTAGTCATTGTAGTTTTGTACTGGATCTTCCTTCTACTACATTAGTAAATTTTCATTAAATAGAAAATAGATTGTTAATAGGGTTGGAGGTTTGAGAGGGAAGTGAGCATTGATTCCTAGTGTGTTTAAGATTTCTTTTTGGGTGATGAAAACATTGTAAAATTGGTTGTGTTGATGGTTGCCTAACTGAATGTACCAAAAACCACTGAAGTCTGTAAATTTTATGTCTCGATAAAGCTGTTATAAAAATGTAAAATAGTATATCTAATTTTTGAGAGAGGAAGATAATTGGTACATGCATAACAGAAAGGCAATAAAATCACTTAATTCAGTTTAGCTCATATCTGTTTATCATTAAGAAAGAGCCAGGTGTGGTGGCACACGCTAATAATCACAGCCCTTGGGAGGCTGAGGTAGGAGGACCACTGTGCGTTCATGACCAGCTTGGGCTACATAGTGAGCCTCTGTCTCATAAAAATCTAAAGACTGTAAATAAATATTAAGAAAGCATTTTACCTGCTTAGAAGTAAACTTGAACTTACGTATTTACTTATTTTTTGGTGGTGTTGGGGTTTGAACCCAGGGCCTTGCACATTCTTAGCATGTGCTCTGCCGTTGAGCTATACTCTTTTTTTTTGTTTTTTCTCGGTACTGGGAACCGAACTCACGACCTTGCGCTTGCCAGGCAGGCGCTTTTGCCACTGAGCTAAATCCCCAGCCCCTGAGCTATACTCTTATTTTTCTAGGGTGGAAGTTTTTAAGGCTACCATGGAGTCTTGTTACATTTTTCTAAATACCTTTCAAAAAAAAATTAAAGAGGATTATATAGGGTTGGATCCTGTAAAGTTAGTCCATAGTTTATAAAAATTTGAATGGAAAGTTTTTTTTTTCAGAAAATGTTATCTCCAGTGCTATATATAGCTACCATATTTTCATATATGATGCTGATCTTTAAAATATTTCTCTTTTTAAAGAAAGCACCTTGAATGCTGGTGGCAAAAAGTTGACATTTTAAAAATTTGCTCACATTTCATTATGGAATACATAATACATAGAAAAGGACATATAACATGTACATATAGGGGATAAAGAGAATACTCTGTACCCACTACTACCCAGCTTAAGAGAAAAACACTAGGGAACCAAGAGATGGAGGGAGAGAGGACAAGAGGATGAAGAAAGAATTAAGATGTGTTACATACATATTACTTCTTGATGAGTGTAATTTTTATCTACTGCAAGCATGTACTATTAAAATTTTTTTTAAACATACACCACCAGTATCACCTTAATCTCTGAAGCCCTAGTTTACCTTCCCCAGCACATAGCTTAGTATCCTGAGTTTTGTTCATTATCCCCTTCTTTCATTTTGCAGTTTTATAATATACTCCAAGTAACAAAATAGTGAAAAAAATCTTGTGGTTATCAGAACCTATTTCTACTTTTTTCACAGTGGGAGTGTAAGACCGATTTGGATATTGCATACAGATTTGGAAAAACTGTGGTGAGCTGTGAAGGCTATGACTCCTCTGAAGACCAGTATGTACTTAGAGGTTCCTGTGGCTTGGAGTATCAGTTAGATTATACGGAGATTGGCCTGAAGAAATTGAAAGACTCTGGGAAACAACAGGGCTTCTCTTTCTCTGATTATTATTATAAGCTATACTCTGCAGATGCCTGTGCCACTGGTGGATTGGTTACCATCGGAGTGCTGCTAACTATTGCCTTTGTAGTTTATAAGTTGTTTCTTAGTGATGGGCAGCATTCACCTCCACCATACTCTGAGTATCCTCCGTATTCCCAGCATCACCAGAGGTTCACCAACTCGGCAGGAGCCCCTCCCCCAGGCTTTAAGTCTGAATTCACAGGTGGGTTTCCCTTCTCAATAGTTGTCAGTAGAGTGGGTGTGAGCTAATGAGTCTTGAACTTCCTTCTGAAAAAGAGGATGGTTGCATTGGGAAATCAAAGTAGATTTGTCTTATTTTTTTACTTTCAATTTCTTTTACCTCTTCTGTTTTTTTATAAGAATATGTGATGATTACTATTTTTAGCATGCCTGATTAATTATAAATCATCTTCATCAGTGAAACTTGATCAGATTTGTTAGTGAGCATTTCCTTTGACCCCTGAATCAGACTTTACATTATACACAGTAATTAAATTATTAAGTATTGTAGATCTTAACAGAAAGGGTAAAACAAGTTCCCAGAATAAAACATGGGAGAACATTTGCCATGATCTTAGGAGAGACAAAGATTCCTTAAACAGAACACAAAAAGTACTAGTCATAAAATTAAAGATGGACACATGAGACTTTATTTAAATTAAGAGCATCTATTTATTAAGACTATTAAGAGAATGAAAAGGCAAGCCACAGACTGGAGAGAAAGTATTTGTAAAACATATGTCCAGCAAAAGACTTACGTCTACAATATATATAGTCCTTCCATGAATTTGAGAAAAGACCCCATTTAAATAGTGGACAGAGGACACAAAGCCATTTTATAGTAAAAGGATATCCAGATGGCCAATAGAACTATGAAAAAGTGCTAACATTTGTCTTCAGGGAAATGCAGAGTAAAACCACAAGGAGATTTTTTTCTTTAAAGGGAGGTTATTTTTAACCACCAAAAAACCAGTGTTTATACTAACATAAAATGAGTATTAAGAATTCACAAAGATAAAAGATAACTGGAGCTTCTATACTTTGTCTTTAGGAGTTAAAGTGGCAAAACACTTTGGAAAACTGTCAGGCTGTACTATAACCAAACATATCTAGCCCATGTTTCTATTCCTAGGTATTTACCTAAGAGAAGTGAAGGCATTTGTGCACAAAAAAGTGCTTAAGAATGTTCGTAGTAATTTTATTAATATAAACAAAAATAGGAAATAGACTAATGATTAGAATGAGGCAAATTGTGAGTTGTTCACATGGTGGACTTCTACACATGAGTTAAAAAACAACTGATAGGTGCAGCAGTAGGATTGACTTTCATAGACATACTGCTGTGGCAGACACAAAGTAATACATAGTCAGTGATTGTATTTATGAAAAGATTGGTAACGGACAGACCTGAAGTATGGTGAGAGAAGTCAGAGAACTTACCTTAGATACAAGTAGGTATCTACTGCGGAGTTGTAATAGTTCAAGAATGCCAGAATCACAGCAATAAGCTGTGGGTGGTGGTTAAATATGTACAAATTTATGGTGCCATGCAGGTAAGATTAGCATATTTTCCTATAAAGATTAGTAAATTTACAAAAGCTTTCTCTGAGCAGAACTTTTTTTTAGTTGTTTCAAGAGTGTACTGCTCAGGTATCAAAAATAAATACCTAGCTCCTGTAACAGCAAATGGGCTGAATTCCACAGAAGACCGAAGGACTCTAGGGCAAGCAGAATTTATTAATTTTAGGCCAGTTACCACACATCCCCCGACTAGCAGTTCAGGAACGTGGAGCCCCTGCCTGCCTTTGTTTCCACCTTATATACAGTTTTGGTTTCCGTAGTAGCAGATTGGAATGTTGTAGCCCTGGCCAGGTGTTGTTTTCCTTGTGCTATATGACTGGGTCAGGCCCTGGTCATGAGCCCAACCACAATGATGTATACTTTTTGTATTCTGTTCTGTATGTCCCCCTTTAGATAACCATACATTTCCTTTATGGTTACAGTGTTTATCTAGGGCCAGGAAAACGATGAAACAACCCAGGCAATGTCACAGGTAGTTATCTGGGCCCTGGTGTTCTTTGTCTTTGGAGAAGCATTCCAGGGCAAAATCAGGACTGCAAAGTTAACTTTTTACAACCCCTGCAGGATGTTTCTCAAGACACATTTTGAGGCTTGCATTAAGACTAGAATTGTTTTATCTTAAAATGATATGCTAAGAGTCGCCATCCCCTACACTCCTTTTTTCATCAGGAAAAAAAGAAAGCTCTCACCTGGAGCCCTCAAAGACAGTCAAGATGGAGAAGGGAAAAAATTGAAAAGTGAGGTCATCTTCTGGTAGCTTATCTTGAGCAGGGGAAATATAATCTTACAGGGAGACTCTCCTCCCATTTCCCAAAATTCATCCCTCTTTCCCCTTCTCCATGGGAAATGTGTTATGAGTTTTAAGCCAGTATTTTACAAATGTCCTTTATGGATACAGCTTGTTTATAAGTTGAGAGCTGAGTATTATTAATAAGTAGTACAATGCAGATGAAATAATTGAAATGTCAAATTTTGAAGGTTATTATGTCAGTGAAGACACTTAACCTTATAAATCACTTTTATTTTAAGGACCACAGAACACTGGCCATCGTGCAGCTTCTGGTTTTGGCAGTGCTTTTGCAGGACAACAAAGATGTGAAAATTCAGGACCAGGGTTCTGGACTGGCATGGGAGCTGGAGGACTATTAGGATATTTGTTTGGCAGCAATAGGTAGGCTTTGTGTGGATCTCATTTGCTCTTTGTTTCAGCTTTTCCTTCAAGGCTTTTTTGTTTTGCTTATAATTTTATGGCATTTGCTTTTATTAAGGAAAATAAATTATGTTGATATTTTCCTGTTAAATAAGATAAGTTTGGGATTTTTTAATCAATAACAATATTATTTTCCTTCATTGTAGTTCCTGTGTCATCCTCATAAATATTATGAAATAGGAAAAGACGGTTTACTTGACATCTGAGAACATGGAGAAGGCAGAAAAGGAGATATTTGGGAGGAACTATCAGCAGTCTAGTTTGGGAGGAAAGTGATAGAATAAGCCTGGAAAGAGCTTGAGGCCAGATTTTAGAATGCCTTGAGTATTAATGGTAGTTTAAGTTTAGATTTTTCTTGTGTATGAATTAAAAAAGGAAAAACAAGCTGATCCAAGACTTGGGAGGCTTAAGCAGGAAGACTGCTGCAAGTTTGAGGTCAGACTGGGCTACATAGTAACTTCAAGGCCAGCCTGAAGTATATAGCAAGACCCTGTCTCAAAAAACAAAACAAAACATTTACTTTCTCTTACTGTCTTGCCCCAAAGCAGTGACTGTAACATTAGCAGAAATTTATTTCATGTTAACCTTGATTTACTTAATATTCTGGGAAAAATACTTGATAATGATGTTTTTTTTTTATGGTGTAGGAACAGAAAGGTAATTAAAACTTACAGTCACAAGAAAGATGCCTAACCCACTTTTATGTCTTTAAAGGGCAGCAACACCATTTTCAGACTCGTGGTACCACCCTTCCTATCCTCCTCCGTACACTAGCACATGGAACAGTCGTGCTTACTCAGCACCTCGGGGAAACCTAGGGGGCTATTCGGCATGTTCAGACTCAGAGATGAAAACCAGAACAGCGTCAGGTAAGAGCAAAAATATAGATGTTCCCACTGTGTAGTAGGAAAGTTCACAAATAGTTTTAGAATTTAAAAGATGGCTGTATGTTTAACATTTATGATTAGAACAGATTAGAGCATAATTCAGATCCAGACATTGTTATTTTTATTAGTACATGTTTGCAGTATGTAATTGACTGCATTCCTTGTGGGGAATTGGTACGTTGGTACATGTACATAATCTGTCCTCTTATTTGTAAACATTCTTTAAAAATCAGAGTTGGTTTAGGCTTAGCCTTACCACTGAGGTTTTAATTTAAGCCCTTCTAGGAGTTAGTTTTTACAAATGTTTAATTCTATGATCTGTAGGGATCCTTTAAGCTCAAAAACAATATTTTTAAGTAGAAGCTTAACTTTTCAAATTCAGGAAAATTAAAAAATACATGGAGGTATATTTTAAATAATCATCAGAAATATTATAATGTTTACTACAAAGGGTGAAGAGAATGCTTTGTAAGAAGCAAAGATATAAAAAATGATAACTGCTGGAGTGAAATATCCAGCTAATCATTGGAAATGGAAGGTGGTCCTGAGGCATTTGTATGTTGCTGTGGATTAGGTTTATCTCTTTCAGGAGGAATAATCTATAGAACAATGAATAATTCTTGAGATGAATAAAAGATATATTTACATATATTTAAAAATATAAGAGTAGAATTCTTATCGTGCTGATTTGGATATGAATTAACATAATCACTTTGAGAAACTGATACTACCTACTAAAATTGAACTAACAACATCTAGGCCCCTATGGTTTTACTCTCAAAGATGGTTGTGTCTCCATATTGTGTTGTATTCTTGGTTCCATTAACCATCAGGGATACAAAAATCTGTAAAAGTTCAAGTCCCTTATGAAAATGACAGTATTTGCATATAACCTAAGAATATCCTCTTACATGTATTAAATCATCTCTAGATTACTTAAAATACCTAGTATAGAGTAACTACTATGTAAATACATGCTACATTGTATTGTTTATTGTTTAGGGAATAATGACAAGGGAAAAAGTCGGTACATGTTCAGTACAAATGTAATTTTTTTGGAAATATTTTCAAACCGCAGTTCTTTGAATCCATACATATGGAACCCATTGATAGAAGGGGCCACTGTACCTAGAATAGAAATATATGTACTTGTACACTGGTAGGTAAGCACAAAAATGTTGATAGCATTCCTATTCATGCCTGTCAGTTTGGTATGTGGGTGGATATCTAAGTATACTGACCATTGCAGCTCCATGCTCCCAGTGTTAGCTTTTCAGTTGCTGGGACCAAATGCCTGATACTCACAACTTAAAGGAGAGGTTTAATTTGCCTCCTGATTAGAGGAAATTTAGTGCATGGTTGGCTGGCTGTAGGGAAGAAACGTCATGGCAAAAGGGTATAGCAAAGCAAAGATGTTAAGTTCACAGTGGCCAAGAAGCAGAGCAAGGAAGCAGGACCAGAGAAGAGGTGATGGAGCAGGTACAGTGGCCAAGGTCATGCCTTCGTGACTCACCTTGACACACCCAGAAGTGTGCTTTACTAATATCCTCTGCTGCTCCTAAGCCAGTCACATTGAAACAAGGAAGCCTAACCGCCATGCTTCCTCTGTCCCCGTTCTTCTGTTTACCATTGGAGTTGTAGAGGTGATGAGGCATGGCTTATGCTCCTTTGGCCTTTCTGTTAATTGGCTTAGACCCTTTGAATGTTAGCTATCTCACATTGGCTTGCCACTGAAGACATCTTCTTTGGTTTCCTTTTTTTTAATGGTACCAGGAATTGAACTCAGGTCCTTGCACTTACCAGACAGGCTCTGTGCCACTGAGCTATACCCCTGGCCCTTTGGTTTCCTTACTAAGCATTATTCATAGCAAATATGTGTGAATTCATTGAGCTTGATGATGGGGAAGGTTGTTGTGGGAGGTGCTACAATGTCCTGCATAGTCTTGTACACTTAATAGCTCATTTTCACCTTCCTTCATCTCTTATTCATTTGCTAATAATAAACATGCATTACTTTTGTAATTTTATATAAATAATTTTAATTTATTTTAAAAAGCTAATACAAATTTTACTCTTCTCATTCTAGGCTATGGTGGTACTAGACGACGATAAAGAAAGTTGAAGTTGAACACTGGAAGCAAAGTTTCTGAGTTTTCATCACTTTCTCTTTAAAAAAAGTGCTACCTGCTAACAACTGGGGAAGGGAAATATTCAAAAATCTGTGGTGTTTTGTCCTGTGCAGCTTTTTTGTATTTTATTATTTGTGGCTAAGAGTTGGTATATGACAAAATGCTTATTTATGATATATTAGTATAACACACAGGTGTATAGTGAAGTTTTTGAAAGTGATGATTTCTGTGGAATGCTAAAAATTTATTATTTGCTTATAAAACTTGTGAAACCACTGTAAACATTACTAATGAAAAAGTCATACCAGTAGAAACTGGTAAAGAAAATATCAGTCTTTTGTGGTTTTAGTGGATGAGTCTTTACCTCATAGAAACAGTAATCTATTTGGTATTACGTTATTGTTCAAATGTTTGTGTTTGGTATTCTTCAAATATTTAAACCAAGCTTTGGACTACTAATTATGCTAATTTGTAGGTTCTGATGACTTCTGAGCTCTGGAGCTCTGAGTCCTTTAGTGGTGGTAGGCTTCTGGTAAGTGAGAATTACCTTTCATAAGTAAAGGTAGAAAATGAGCACCTATTAAAGAAATAAACACCTAGAAGGTTGTGAATGATTGTGTGCTGACAAATACTTGAAACTTCCCTGTTTCTTCAGTTCCTGTAGTGGTTGATACATTGTGTCAACTTGAGGTTTAGAAATATCACTAAGTAACTCAGCAGGGGGCCAAGGTTCTCACTTTATAAACATCCAGAGCCTGTGTAAGAGGAGGGCAGGGAGATGGTGTGAGTGTTACACTCATGAGGGCAGGTAGCCTGCATACAATATAAGGGAGGAATAGATGCTTGCTCTCCCTTTTGCTCTTGTTGCTTTTGCTGTCTTTTGCCTCCTTGAACTGTTGCCCCTGTGCCATGCCTCCCTGCGTTGGAGCCCCCAAGTATGGTTTGAAACCTCCACAAACTGAGATAAGTGAACCTTACCTTCCTTAATTTTGGGTGTCAGGTATTTTGTTTCAGCAATGAGAAAAATTACCAAGACAGAATTTAGTACTGGAAGCGGGGTGTTGCTCTGACTATACCTGATCATGTGGTACAAGAGCCTTTGGGAATAGCTTGTGGGAAGAGTTTGGAAAGGTTTGGAGATGCCAACTGAAAAAGTAGTGCTGGAATACCTTAGGCTGTTCTGTATGGGAGATTCTGGTCAGAACTCAGAAGACCAGAAGGCTGATGCAAACCCTGCCGATAAATGGGAAGTTTCTGTTGAGAAGAAGGACTGCATTGGCTGTTGCAGTCCAGACAGTGTATTATAGCTTGGCACAAAGTTTGTTGGCATTTTGCTTGTGTCCAGAGACTTTGCCTGAGACTAAGGGTAGCAGACTAATTAATCTGGCAGAAGAACTATCATGGCAGTCAAATGTGGAGGCAGTGGCATGGCTATTTTTGGGAGCTTTTAGCCAGATCTATGTTGAGAATCAAGAGTAAAGAGCCCCTAGCAGGGTGAATTAAAATGTGAATTTGGCCAGAAAGGAAGCTCCAGTAAAGCTGTGCACTGCAAAGAGAGCTGAGATCTCAATTGCTGAGAAGGAATAAGACAGTAGAAAAGATGGCCTGAGGGCATCACAAGAAGCAGTAAGTCTCCACCCTTTTGCAGCCTCCAAACTGCAAAAGTGAGACTTTGCTTTGAGGAGAAAGCTGTATAGCACCATGTTCCAGAATGGCAGTGGCATGGAAAATTTGTTTCTCAGAATTGGATTCAGAGTGCCCAGTGATGCAGGCACTTGACTCCTTCAGCCAAGAGAGAGGGGAGCCTGGCTACTGCTGTAGCTGGTAGTAGACCTTGGCATCATCCATATAGCACAGGTTTTAGATGCACACAGAATGCAGCAGTTGTGGGGTTAGGAAGGCTCTCACCTTGATTTCAGAAGGCCTGGGAGGCTAGGCAGTATATCCCTGAGAGGGCAGTGTGTGAAGTTTTGAGGGTGAAGCCAAAGGTGCAGTGGAGACTCCAGAAGTTTGGAAAAGCCAGAAGCATGGATTGTCTAAGGAAACCTGTAAGGAGGGAACAGAGCCAGCCCAAGAGAGAAGCCGTGGGAACTTTAACCACCAGAAGTGCTGTAAGGGTGGAACGACACAAGCCCTTTGGAGTTCACAATTTGCGAGAGATTGCCTCAGATGCTGGACATGGAACTACGGGACTTAATGTTTTGTCCTGCTGGATTTTGGACTTGCTTTGGTTCCAAACCTTTGTATTCCCCTGTTTGTAACTTTTGGAATGAAAATGTTTATCTTGTACCATTGAATGTTAGACGTGTTTAACTTTTCATATGTATAGGAGCTTGCAGCTAATAGTTTGCCTTAAATCTCAGAGGAGACTTGGGATTTAGACTTTTCAGCAGTGCTGAAACTGTTAGGACTTTGGCAACTCTTACAGATGGACTAAATGCCTTTTGCATAAAGAGATGTGCATGAGTCTCTGGGGGACTATGGGTGAAATGTTGTGGTTCTAATGTAATATAATGTTGATAGAATTAATACTGGTTCTCAAGGATTGTTAAATCTGTGTAATAATGTTCAAGTTGTGAAATGATAAGCATTTCTTTGTACCTAGAGACCCCTTTAAAGAAATGTGTTTGTTTGCCAAGTTGACAGGGGTGGATTATAGTGGTTGATACATTGTGTCAACTTGAGAAGTTTAGAACTTTAAGTGACTCAGCAAGGGACCAGGGCGCTCACTCTGTAACCATCCTGAGCCTGTGCAAGAGGAGGGTACTGAGATGGTGTGAGTGCTACACCCACCCGAGAGTGGGTAGCCTGCTTACAATATAAGGGAGTAAAAGAGGCTTGCTCTCCTCCTTTTGCTCCTGTAGCTTTTGCTCTTTTTGATTTTGCTGTCTTTTACCATGTTGACCTGTTCAATAAAGGTCTTTTAATAGCAAAAGCATGCAGTTCTCTGTGGAATCTCAAATATTGTAATAGAATCAAATATTAAAATGACAATAAACTAAAAAAAATACTATCTCATTCTTTCTACTATCCTTGGCTCTGTATAATTCATTTGAAAATTTTCAGAGAATGTGTTTATGTTAATTGAAAATGGAGTCACAAGTATACCAAAAAATTAATGATTTTTGAATCTTTATATCTGTTCTGAAATTTTTGTATCATAAACATAAAGCCAGGGTGTATATGTTCCCAGCCCAATGTTTAGCTAAGGTGTCAAAATGTGTAAAATTATTTGCATATTTTGAGCTTGCCATAGTCTTTTTTTTTTTTTAGTACTGGGAATTGAACTCAGGACCTTGCACTTGCCAAGCAGGTACTTGTGCCACTGAGCTATATCCCCGGCCCAACCTTGCCATAATCTGAGTTTCATTAGAGTGCTATTATGGTTTGAAACAGCACAGATAAGTTGATTTTTACCTTGAAGATGTATTTTAGCTCATAAATGAGTGGTCATATCCACCAAAATTGCTAAATCTATCAGTCATTTTTCATCTTTGAATTCTTGTACAAATTTTCCTTTTATTCCATAAATGACTTGATTTCATTTTGCATATCATAGAGTCATTTCAACAGTTTAGCCTGACTTAAGTATATTAAGATATAATTTTTGAGAAGTGTAAAGGATGTCTGTGCAATCAGCTTCCATAATTGTAAGGAACTCTGGGAACTGGCAATGATTCAGTCCCTTGGACTTCGTGAAATTCACAGCTTTGATGATAATTTGCACTATATTTTTAAGGCTTTCATACATAAATTTTTTTGAGGTATGGATCAGTGATACTTCATCAAACATAAGTTGCTGGCAGCAGTTGCATAATCTTCTATTATAATTTCTCCTTTTTTTACTAACTATTGTCATCAGCTATACCAGATATATTGACAGTTGTAAAAGAAAGTAGCTTTTTAATTTTTTTATTCTTTGGTTTTTTTGGAACAGGGTCTGGCTGTGTAGTCAGACTGGCCTTGAACTGTTTATGTAGCATAGGCTGCCTCAAACTTGCAGCACTCCTTCAGTTTCAGCCTCCCGAGTGCTGGGATTATAGGCATGTGCCACCACGCCCAGCCCAAGAAAACTGCTTTCATGTAACTTCTACTATATACAAATCAAAGGACTTAGTTCTGTCTTTTAATGGCCTCAAAGAAACCATTTCTTCAGCCACATAATCATCAGTACCTGTGATAAAAATGGCAAGTTGAGCAGTATCTGTGACATCACTACTTTTATCTGTTGCCAAAATATAACCTTTGAAATTAGCATCTTTCCCTCCAAATCTGTTTTGATATTTTTATTTCTTCAGTTTGCCTGGTTATAGTTTTTTTTTTTTTTTCCTTCCAGGACATTTTTCAGCAAGTAAATTACAAGGGGATTCTTTGGTACCAACCCATAATGAAGACCAAGTACACATTTTCATTGGAGCACGGAGACGTCGTCGTTTCAGTCAAGTTTTACCTGCTTACATACATGTGATTAGTGTATTTTGTAGGGGGCACAGGAACCTATATGCTGGCTAAGCCTGGTCTGCCCCAGTAGCCTGACGGGCCCTCTGACTGCAACAGGAGTGAGCAGTCTGCTTGATACCCGTCACTTAGTTCATACGGTCAGCTAGGTCCTTTGCTCTGCACTCAGTAAATCAAAGGAAGCTGATTGGTAAAAAGGATAAAGGATTTATTTATTTGTTTTTAATTTTAAAAATAAAAGGAAAACAACAGACAACCTTTTCCAAAATAGCAAAAGAACAGTAGAGACAATACAGAGTTACTAACAAAGTGGTAAGAAATGAACAATGCTTGTTGTATTACATATTGATATCTTCAAAGTGTTTTCTCATGAAAACAAATAGAGACATGCAGTATTGATCAATCAAGGACTCATTGACAGTTAAAGGATTTATTTAAAGGTAGCTGCAAGGAGGTGAAGGGGACCATCTGCTTCAAGTCACCTCACTGTGCACAGATGTGTTGGGTCTGGATTTTTATAGCAAGGAATAGTAGGGGGAGGAATACAGTGGAACAGTACACATGCAGGCTGGTTCCATCCTTTCCTGGATCCAGACCTCTCCTTTGTCTAAGGGAATGAAATTGGATTTGACCTGATGCCAAGATCTGCATATTCTATCCATTACGCTGGGTTGAGGAGTGGTGGGGGAGCTATTTATGCTCTAAGCCTGAGAAAGTTTGGAGAAGTCACTTGTCTCTAAAGTAAAAAAAAAAAAAAATTTAAAGTTGTGTTTTACAGTACTGCTTACATGCTAAGTCTTCAGATTGGTGAATCTACATAGCCTCCCTTCCTCAAACCTGCTCTGTGCAGAGTCCTTTCTCATATGTTACTATGGGTGGTGGGTTCCCAGCAGATAGGCTTTCAGGTTCTTGTGCATGAAGAACAAAGTATTGGACCCTGCATACATGGTACAAAAAAGTAGCTAAGTTTAATGACATTTAAAGGCATTCCATTGAATTCTCATTTCATGTTTCTTGCAAGAAGCTTTCTAAGAGATAAAGACAGCCAAACCCAGGTAGATGTGTATTCCAGTGACAACAAACCACTGCCCATTCTGTGAGAGAAGTGATCAAATGTAATCAATACGCTATTAGATAATTGTGCAGGATTCCA